TTCAGTATCTAGGACAAAACCAGTCTTCCTTCTGTTTTTGCAAATCCAGACTGACTGTACCTCAGCCACATTCATGTTTCCGTGTTGTTTGTGATGCTTTCATGCTACAGCTATAGAGTTGCGTGGTTGTGACCAAAAGCCTGTGTCCCACAACGCCTCAAATGTGTGTAAGCTGAGTCTTCCCTGCAGATGTCTGCCAACTGTCGTAAGCCGTGGGAGAGGCCAATGTTCACACGAGTGATTATAAAGTGAGGCAGTATCTGATCACAGCCAGGATCCTTGTAGAAAGGGCTATAAGATGAGGCCACTGGGTATTTTTCATGGAGCTAGACCACTCTAGGGTCTTCACGGAGCTTCCATGTTAGAGCTGAGGTTTTAGGAGTGAGTTGGATTGAGGCCAGCTGATTCGGCTAAGGGTATTTCAGGTAAGGTCATCCTCATCCTTGTCTGTTCCCTGGAATGGCTCACTTGGAAAACCTCAGGGTACAGAGGCATGGGTCCCCACTCCCAGAGATCCTGACTGCAATTTTTCAGGGCTTTGGAAGCTCCTCTGGTGATCCTAGGATAGCCCGCATGGTGAAGAGGGGTCATGGGGTGAACAGTTTGGAGTCAGGTCGGGACAGTGAATTGTGGGTGCCGGGCTAGGGCAGTGCTGTGAGGGAGAAGCTGGCCAAGTGGGGACTCGACACCTGGGCCAAGCAAATGGAACCTGTCTTAGCAAGGGAAACCAAGGCACAATTTGGGCATGCGAGCAGCTGGAGCAGAACTGTATGTCATTGTCAGTTGTTGCCTCTGAGGCAGCTCCAATTCACCACCATCCTGTGTCCAACAGAGTGAAGGGCTTTCCAATTCTGTGCCATTTTCATGATCATTGGTGTGTATTTCCTTCTCCGGAGTTTAGTCACCCCTGATGATAAGGCTAAATATCTAGTCAAAGTTTCTGACAGTATTCAGCGATCCATCGGGTTTTCAGTAGCTAATTTTGCAAGTAGATTGCCAGGCCTTTCTTCCTAGTCTCTCTTAACCTGAAAGTTTCACTTAAACCTGCCCAACATTGTAGTCCTGTTCCTCCTGGTATTTGAAAGCTAGTGGTGGACCTTCCAGCATAATAACAACACACAAGCCACCATGCAGGGCAGATTGATAGATGGCCAAGAGCTGCAATAATAAGTTTGAAGAAGGAATAAAAAAATATGGAACTTATTAGGGGCTTTTTGCAGACATCTTAGTAAAAGAAGGAGCATGTTTTTTTCACTGAGTGCGAATCACAGTGTCAATAGCTTGAGTGTAGAATTCTAGAGGACAGCTAGGGGCTGCCTGAAGCTACCTGGGCCCTCAGGCCAGCAGCTGTTTTTACCCAGAAGTGAGAAAGTACTTTTGTCCTTTTTTTAAAAAAAAAATAAAACAAACAAAAAAAACCTGGTTGGTGTATCCTTTAGGAAAAAGATATTTTGGAGGGGCATTTGCAGACCTTGGAATCCTTTAGATCTGACTGCTCCTGAGTGAAAGATGCCAGAAAGGATGACAAGGCTTTGGGCTTAAATGGTTGGAGGGATTTTGACAGACTTTGCCAGGTTAAGTGGACACCAGAGGAAGAGAGTGATCATGAAATAAAGTGGATTTGGTTTTGAACATAAAAAAAGCCAATTGACAAGAAAGAAAGGCCATCCTTTATCATGAGAGATCTGCACCTCTTGAAGTGACCGAACTTTTCTGTGTTCACATGAAAATACAAAACAAGAACAAGGTGGGGATTTCGAGACTCCATAGCTGTGGAGTTCAGAGAGGGAGCTGATGCCCTTTGTGTACTCAGAGCATGTAGTTAGGACCTGGCTGGGTTGAGCCTCAGGCTTGAGAGATGTTTCATTTCAGGAAGCCTCCATCTGGTTTCTGAGGCTGTCATTTTTTATACAAGGAGCCTGGCCATCTCTTTCCCTCAGAGCAGCTGGAGAATTTGAACTTGATTTGGTTACCAGCCAGAATCTTTGTGCATCCCACCACCAAAGCCCCAGGAATTCCAGGTAACTGCTTCCTAGACCTCAGATTCTTCCCTCGACATTTTTAGGACAGAGATTTTTTTTTTATATTATTGGGAAAAACATGTTGGGGATACAAGGTGGTGAGGGTTGGGAGCAGAAGGGTGAGGATGGGCAGGAATGAAAATTGCAAGGATGCAGTTGCAGAGCTGCACAATTTGGTTGGTGGGGGGAGCAGGTGAAGGAAATGAAAGGATCCAGTGGGGACCAGAAGACACAGGGCAATGCATAGTCCAGTGGTGATTAAACAAACTTGTCTTTTTCACTTGGTTTCTCATTTCGGAATTGGGCACAGCCTCTCTGGCTTCTTCATACTGAACAGGGGCATTGATGTGAAGGGGGAAAGGGAATATTTAATATCCTACAGACTATAGAACAAACAAGTCTGTCTTGGAGAAAGTGCAACCTTAGAGGCAAGGAATGAATGGGAGCGAACTTCAGGGCACAGGGCTAGGGTCCCACACATCCCATTCTATAACCTGGTGTTGGGTGCCAAGAAGTCAGTTATGACTGCTTATGACCTCCCGCACAGCGGTAAAACACTACCCAGGCCTGCGCTGGGTTCAGGGACAGGTCTGGAGTAAGACTCAGTGTTAAGGTTATCTATAAGAAAGGGAGCAAATCTAGAGAGAACAAACTTGTGAGTTATAAGTAGAAGGGCTTTGGGGGTGTTACTTTTGGGTGTACTGGAGGAGAGGATGGAGGAAAGTAGCCTAGATAAAATTCTCTATACACCTTATTTCTACCCAGGGGTCAGATGGCACAACCTGAGGGCTGAGGAGCTCACCCTGAGGGCCAGCTCGCCCCAAGGGCCGGACATGGTTCGCCCCGTACCCCAAGGGCCAAAAAGCTCTTCCCCAGGGCCAAATAGCCCACCCCAAGGGCTGGAAAGCACACCCCGAGGGCCAGGCAACACACCCTAAGCGCTGGCTGGCAAACTCTCCCACTAAAGCTCCCCCCCCCAAGTCCCTACCTTGCGCCTCACTGAAGACCATGTAGCCAGGGACAGCGTCCCCAATTCCAGCACTGCCACCTTTACCCCCCTCCTAAATAAGTGGTCATACTGTAATCTCAAGTGTCACTGCCCTCCCCCTTTATAAATGGAGAAGGGAACCTGAGAAGGATGAACAGACATCCCCCAGATCTAAACAGTTCTTGGCAGAGGCAGTCAACAGATCAAAGGATGTAGTACACTTAGGATATCTGCCATCTTGGACATGCTGCCACTGTTAAGTGTCATCAAGTTGTAGACAGCTCACAGTGGCTCTCATCAATTCATTGTATTGGTGATCCTCTCTGGCCTGCCCAAGGAAACCCCAGCCTGCTACTGCATCTCCCGCCACCGCCATCTTGGCTCCAAGAATTCTCCCCAGAACATGGCAATGTGGTGACTCCACTGCACCATCCTGGGGGTATGGGGGGAGCGGACGGTGCCTACTGTCCATCCTAGGTGAGGGGATCACTGGGGTAAGGCAGTGGTAGCATCATGGAGCTGCGGCTGCTGCGTGGGCTTGGCAGCAGGAGGCTGGGGGCCGTGGGACTCAACCATTCCTCCCTGGGAATCCTTGACCTCCTGATGTTGAGTCTAAATCTGCACCCAAGACCAGTTATCAACTGTCTAACTGTTCACTGCCACCTTGGAATCAGGACAGAGATTTATGCCCTGGGGATACCCTCACTAGACCAGGGTCATCCACTCCTTGAAACCGGCTGCTCATGCTGACGGCCATCTCTCAGGGCTCCTACCCCACCCCCACCCCGGGGCTGACAGCAGGAGGGGCAGGGCGGCCTCTACTTCATTCCCAGGTGCATGCTCACCTCATTCATTATTGAAGGTTCTCAGTTTATGACTGCCACCCTAGACTCCACTGTCTGTGGACCTGAAGCTCCACCCCGCACATGCAGGACCTCACCTTCCTAGGTGTTCCATGTTGGAAGGCAGTGGGAGCTCCGTGCTCCATGACTGTTTCAGGCATCTCTGGATGGAGTTCTATGGCACCTCACTGTTCTGGTTGGTTCTGTCTGTCCTCCTCCACCCTGACATCTTCCAGGGGTTTGACAACCCTCCCTCTACTGACCCAGTGTGGCCCTAGATGTCCCCTTGTCATCTAGTGGGCTTTGACTGCTGACAACCCCAGAAAACTGCTCCATAAGGTTTCATTGGCTCAGTTTCCAGAAGATCACCAGGCCTTTCTTCCAAGGAGCCTCTGGGAGGATGTGAACGTTAATTGCTTTGTTAGCTAAACCATTCACTGTTTGCACCAACCAGAGACTCCAACTTAGAATACCCTCCCACTGAAGGACTTGCTGGGCCCCAAAGCCCTGTCTCATTGGCTCCACCCTCCCTCTGCCCCCTCCTTTACATTGTATGACCTGCACCATGTAATCAAGGAGATAAGTTTAATTCATCCTAAGTAACTGGGGCTGCAGCCTTATATTCTCTATCCGAGAGCACCCACATAGCAAACGCTCAATTAATGACTGGGAATGGGGGGAAGAACCAGCCCAAAAAGGTTGCTTTTCATGCAATTTAATCTCTCTCGTATCTACACAAGCTAAGCAAAACAGGTGTATAACTTATTTTTACAAAAAAGAAAGACTGAAAGGATTACAGGAAACCAAAAACTGATCACCTTTGGCTTATTTCTCCATCTTGTCATCCTCACTATCTGATGTGAGGTGCTTTCACAATCTCCTTTCTCTCACTATGCTGGCAGGCAAAACACAAAGTATTACTCTTAAACCAGATAAACAGTAATAAACAGGTGATCCATATCATTCATAAACTTAAGATTCTGAATTAGCTATTACAAGGAATAACGTGAAAAACCTGAAAACAGAGGATAGGGGGAAGATAAACTGAATATTGAATGCATCCTACCCCTCCTCAGCCCCACCATGTCTTCCACCACTGAGGTTAACAGACTTTATTAAGCACAAAGTGGGGAATCTCCTCTAGTTTCCCTAGGGGGTGGAAGATCCAGCACCCTTGACCTTTTCTGGGGCAGCAGGACCAGCCTCGGCTGCACCTTTGGCTCTGGCTTTCTCTTCCTCCTCTGCCAGTGCCTCTTCATATTCAGCTTTGAAATCACTGGGGCTGGTGCCGTTGACTTTGGCCAAAAATGCCAGGACTTCCATCTTGCTGGTTTGAGCATAGGCTCTGGGACCCCACACGAACTCGTACCGTGGAGGATAGCCAGGTAAGAGCCTGTGCTCCAGGTACTTTGCTTGAACAAAATCAGAGATCAGTTTCTTGGGCTCCCCAAAGATGAGGTGATGCTGCCCAACGTAGATCCCCAGCTTATTTAAGAATTTCCAGAGCTCTTTCTCAGTGGCTCTGTTGCCATTAATGAAGATCATACCCAGCAGAGGCATGAGGAGGCCGGTTTTGGGCAACTCTCTCTGACCACTTGCGGTGGGATTGCTGGGAAGGTTTAGCTTGCTGACGAGGGAGTAGACGTGGCTGCCAGGGTGTTGCTCCGTCAGGTAGATGCCGAAAGCGAGCTCCAGGCGCTTGGTGGTGACTTTAAGGATCTCAGGGAACTCATGGCTGTACTTTCGGGTGATGGTCTTCAACATCTCTTCCTTGGTGATGAGCTCATCCATTTTGTACTTGTGAAGCATCAACTGCATCAGGAGACAGGCCCTGGTGTTGAAAGGATTTTTGGGGGAGACATCTCTGGAGCTCCCGGTGTTCTCCGAGCTTGACCCTTCATCAGCTCCGTTCTTCTCCCCTTTGCGATCTTTGCGAGCTCTTGGCCGGGAGCGACGTGCACCTCCAGCCAGTGCTGCAGCTCCAGCCAGTGATGCACCTTCAGCCTGCGCTGCACCTCCAGCCAGTGCTGCACCCTGAGTGCTGGGACCCGGGACTGGCTCCTGAGGGCTACCAGCAGTAGAAGAGCTTTGGGGTGTGCCCTCAGTCTCAGGAGAGAAATCCAGGGAGGCCTGAGCACCCTGAAGACTCTGGCTCTGCCCGCGGGCCTGGCAGTATTTCTTGGCACGGAGCTTGGTCTTCCGCCCACGAGGCATGATGGCTGCTCAGGGACAGTAGGTAGGAGTGTGGCCAAGAGGGCAGCTGCTGTGGTCACTGGAAGACAAAGACAAGAGAACCTGAGTCCCTCCACAGGGAGCCGACACCTCGGTGTTAGGAGGGCCGCTGGGTGGGTCTCCTTGGGGCCCTGCACAAGTCACCCCCAGAACCTGCGGGAGGATGTCACAGTGAAACTCAGTCCGCCATCTTCCAGCCTTTTCTGTACCTAACTGGGGCTCACAACAGTGGAGATGATGGGGATCCTCTGTCTTGGGAGGGAGCGCCTTTCTATTCACATCAAGGAGAACAAAGAAACTGTTGGGCATCTTAGGGGCACCCCCTTCCCCTCCTTTTTAGAGGGTGCCACCTCAGAGCTCCCTGAAACCCCCAAGCAAGACATGAAGGTATGCCGGGTCCACCTGCTTTGCCAGGGAGGGTCACCAAGCACTGGCAGTGCTGTGAGGTCCTTTCTGTCCCTGTCGCCTTCACTTCTCATTCCCGGTTCTCACTTGGGCCCCACACTGGGTCTGAGACCCTCCTTTTGTGGCTTACACAAGGGTGACCCAGGGACACCCCGATCATCGCCCAGGCTTCCCGCCCCGCCTCCCAGGGTTCGAGCTCTTCCTGTGCTGGTCGGGGCGGCCTCTCTGCTGTTCACAGGTCCACTAGGAGTCACAGACGGCGTGATGGTTCCTCACAATTTCTCAGGGGTGTTTCCCTGGCCCCCTCAGCTTCCTATCTTGACTCCTGGCACGGTCCCCGGGCCCAGAGCTCATTGTTGACTTGCGTGTGCTGCGTTTCCACAGCCGACCCACCTCCCCGAGACGCCGAGGCCGCAGTGGGCCGTGGCTCTGAGAATGGAC